GATCAAGTTTTCCGAGCATTTTCACGCTGAGAGACTAAGACTACAAATCGGTTCATCCCAAATTGGTTTATTATGATGGAACATGAAAATTGAAGGCAGAGTTCACGTTCAAGATAAAATGTTTTCTATGGTTCTCCATAGGATAAACTAGAGGCCTCCTCGTATACCACCTTATCTGGCGCTAACAGGTCAGGAAACACTAGATAGGGCATTATAAAGGCTCAAAAATTGTATTGTGTGTATCTTCGGACGAGTTTCACCGGCACTGTAGAGGCCGCACGATCCACAAGGGAACCCATGTAGGAGGCCCTTGTCGTGACATATAGCGACTGTGATATGTAGTTCTGTACAGTTCTGGTTCGATGTAGTTAGTTCTCTGCGCAATTGCAACAGCTGATATCTCGTCCTGATACCCTTTTCATGTCATTCCGTCCTGGTAATCTCGTCCATCCTCTGGTTCGCTACTTTTAAGGAGCCTTACCTTTCTCAAAATTGATGAATTTTCTCGCTTTCTTCTTTATTGATGGACCATTCCATCCAATACTTCATCCTTTCAAATAAGAAGGGTACCTCAAAATTATCGTGAATTGTGCGTTTAATTCATGAAAGAGTTCCGAGTCTACTGTTCCGATCTGATCTCCTTTCCATTTAGATAGGAAAAACCGCTTATCCACATCGTTTTTGTATTTACTTCTACTGTAGCTCCTACCACTTTCCATTCCTTCCTGATAAGCAGAAAAGATGGGCTTATCAACTTGACCACATAGTACGGAACGGTCTGTGGAAGTGTGAGTGTATGCCTCATTTCAACTAACTCTCGGCTGGAAGGAAGTGGCCTCGCGTTCAATGAGCCGGTCTTCGGATGGCGGTGGCACTTTTATGAGTCTTTTCCAAGCCTTCAGAGAGGAATGCCGACGTTACGCCAGGCAGAAACGCCTCTCAGTCAACGACAAGGTACGGTAGGAAGAACATGGTTTGTTCCCGAGGGTCGGTTGGAGAGTTTACTCGGATTCCATTCCTTTCTAGTCAAAAACCTACAATATGTCGCAAAACGAGGCGAATGCGGAGCATCTGTCGGCGGAACGCTTTTCCGAGTTGGTTCAAGAATTTGACACCTTCATCTGTGGGGCAGACGGTAAGGGTCAAAAGAGACGTTTCGAGTATCAGTTGGAAATTGGCTTTTTCTAGCACTTCCGCCTTCTAGGCCTATTTGGTACATTTGCTCGACCAGAGCCTAATCCGTACTCGGTTGTAGGCTTGCTGTGGCTTCGTGAGGGTGTTATCACTGACGCTTCCAAACTGATTAATCGGCTAGTTGATAACAAGAAACAAGTTATCATACTTACTAACGATACCACAACTACTCGAGCGGATCATGAGAAAAAACTGGCTGATCATCGGTTCAGCCCGAAAATCACGAAAGTGAGTTCATTCCAAATTAAAGGTACTTGACGGTAATGCCGACAATTGACCGAACTCTCGCGAGGGGTCCACTTTACATGGGCAGCATATTTTCCCCATCACTTAGAGGAAAACTGGACTTTCGAATTGCTGTGGATAGCACACTGAACCGAATACGAAAGCCATTCATTCGGGTACCCAAACTCGAGAGAAATGGTCAACCGTGACAAAGGGCTGTCTCTATTTCAGTAAAACTTGAAGGTCCAATTCCTCGTCAGAAAGATCTGCTGATATTTTGATGGTTGGATGACCTTCCCCAGGATAAGTCCTTTCCTATCATTATCACGCCATGAACGGCTTAGAAAGGCCTCATTGAGTTGATTCTCCCATTCCTACCCGTTTTGGTGCTCCTGAAAAGCCCGGTCAGAAGACTTTGACTACGAGCGCCTTCCCTTCTAAACTTCATATCGCCCTGGTAACGAAGTAGGGCTTCTCAGATCCAAAGCTCCTTTCCTCTACATAACCCGTTAAACCATAGTGACTTAGGCGATCTATCAGCCTGCGGTTGCGGTGAGGCTCCTCTTATTATTGGACCTTTCCGATGCAGCATGGAACGAAAATGCTGACAACATGTTGATTGCAGATTACTTTACTCTACTATTGCAGGATGTAATAGTGACTCCTGGGCTAATTGTAGCCAATTATATTAAGAATTTTGCAAGTTGTAATGGCAAGAAAGTGTATATAATCGCCGCTGAAGGAGTGCAATATGAGCTCAAAGACAATGGTATTGGCTCAACTCGTGATCAGCATCCTGAAGCTCATGGTTGCGCTGTGAACACGGCAAATCGGCGGTACTGGGAGATTTCAACTTCAGGACTACTTGCTTACAACAGGGTGATCGGTCAACAAATCAATCAACCGATAGAATATTCTCTAGGGGTGAGGGGAGGAAACCCCCTGGTTTAACGATGTGGCAAGGGAGTGGACCACTCCAGTTATTGAGGGGAGGCTGAGGGAATCTCGCAACCTGACTTCACGGCTATTCAGCCGCTTTCCTTGAAGCTCAGTAGCCGACATGCAGTGGCAGCGTTACCATTACCATTAGTTAGGCTTCCTTAACAACGAACTCGAACTTCTTCGTTGTAGGAATAGAATATTTTGGGCAAGGTCCGGATATATTGGAGCCTCAGGGTAAGGAAGTGATTGTCCTAAATACCGACCTGGCCGTCAAGGTACTGATGAGCTCGAGAGCTGTTCCCACCTCTTCTCCGGACTTCTCGAGCTATGTTCTTTTCAGAGAGAAGAAGTTTGTGCAGTTGTGGTCGGCTTCGATAAGCATTTCAACTACAAGAAGATGATGAAGGCGGCCAATTATCTGCGGGATCCGAGCTGTCTCTTCCTGGCCACCAATGACGATGCCACGTTTTCTTGTCAGAATCAGGACATCGTCGTTCCTGATGCAGGCATGGCACAGACTACTAAAGTCATCTGCAGCGCAACTGCCCCATGTAGTTTGATTACCCGCATAATCCCTTCTGAGACATGCCATGCTTATGACGTCAACGAGGGCCGTAGGTTGCTTAATGAATTTGAGCCCGTGTGGGTACTCAGTGCAATCATCATGTGATCTCCCGTTAATTTTGCCGGTCAGAATGGATCTAGGTGTTATGGTAACAAATCAACCTCCCCAAAAGGATGGGAAACCAGCTGGTTCGTACGTCACACTCAAACAAGGGTTCACTCTCTCTAATCTTGGACATAGGGATGGCCACGGGATTTCTACTACCCAATCCTTCACTTTCCAGTGCGCAGTTTGAAGTTCGTTCTCGATGCTGTTCTGGGAGTTGTATCAGGGTTCTGCTGGTGCCCTTAATGTCCAGTACGAACTCCAAAGTGACACAAACTTTGGTAAATTCAAATTTACACAACTCCATTGCAGGAGCCATTGTTGCCTCAGTCAGTAAAGCCAGTACTCGTGAGCCAGTTATTGTGGGCAAGCCATACCTTCCAGCCTTTGAATTCATTAAATCAAAATGGAAGATAAACGAGAGTCGAACGATGATGATCTGTAGCAGGTCAGTACAAGAAGAAGATCTCGTCAATAGAGTCCTTCTCATTTGGGGAAAGGGCGAACCACATAGTTGAGCTCTGAAAGTGGGGATGATGAAGAAGCACCCGATAGGGTCTGCACGTCCGACGCTCTCAGCAACGGACACCACCACCACCACCACCGACCGCAGCACTGAAAGGAATAATGGATTCAATGCAATAAGCACCTTTGTAGAAAAGCTATCATAAGCACTCCATCCCCATACATCCAGAGAACTGCCTCACCCGCTGTCGCACTAGCTTTTTGTCAAGGAAGAAAATGCGGGTCTTGCTTTTGATGTAAAACCCCAACATTGGACATTTTGCCAGTAGCTTTCCCTATAGAGTTATCAAGTCAATAGTTATCACGAAGTGTGACCATGAAGTTTATTCATCGGCCTAGGGCTGCGACCGGTTCCGACGTCATCCTCACAATGGTTTACTAAAATAACTGAAAAAAGGTGAAGTGGTTTCACTTGGGCAAGGGTAGGCCGGTTACGCATTGTCTCATAGACGATTCGGTGTAACCGCCAGAAGCTGGCACATTAGGCTTTAGCTCAAATCCGGTCTTATGAAAAGCAAGTATTACACCATGAATTAACTCCTTTTTATCACTGGAGGCAGAGTTCCACCACTTTGTGCTCATTTACATCATCCTTATACTTCTGTAGCTAAGGGAGCTGCATTGACACTGACCCTCTCTGTTCCTTCGTTGAACCGGGAGTAAGTCTGGTCCTGCCGAAAAAGAACAAAAGTGTGAGAAGCTCCAGCAGCTGTGGGGCTCCTCTGGTTGAGGCATTAGGGTAACCCCAATCCTACGCTCAATAGTCTTCAGGTAAGAAGTAGGACAGGAATTGGGTAAGATGAGGGAAGGGGTAGAAGGAAGGAAGGAGTGCTGGTACCTATCTCATATACAGAGTATGCTGTGTAACAGTCATGTTCATTGTATCTCTCTTGACATACGGCCTAGCCTGCAGATCTCAGCAGCATTCTCGTTCAGGATAAGTACCGATGTAAAATTCGGACGAGATCACGGTTTGCGCACGTTGCTAATACTGAACGAGACACAACAGTTGGACGAGTTGGAGAAACTACGATCAACTGGACAAGTCAACCTGCTACCACACTACTATGCTACCTCGATCGCCTCGATACTTCCTTGAATCAAACATTCACGATGTCTTATTCGAACTGATAACTGGATATTGAACGACTATCTAGGTTACCAGTAATGTTGAGCACTGATTTTGATGTATGAGTACATTAAGTGAAGCCACAGCAGGACGAAATAAAGCTCTGAAATCCCAACAACTACTACTCTCTTAAGAAAGAGCAATCTAAAGGCACCGTTCGCGATGATTCAATGGGCGGGTGTGTCGATGACGNCGTCATCGACACACCCGCCCATTGAATCATCGCGAACGGTGCCTTCAAGCTTGCGACAGGCTCATGTTTGACAGTTCTGCTCCAAGCAGGCTTTCGTGGTTAGACCTCAGAGATGATCTCGGTTGCAAAAAAAAGGCAAAAAACAGAAAGCTCTGTTTAGTTCGAATCTCGTACCGGCGGGGATTGCAGTAGTCAACAGAAATATCAAATCACTGATCTAATTATCCCCATGAAAGTTCTGAACAAAACAATATGCCCTGTGTAGCTCGAATGAGGGCAATTCACTGGACTCTTTTGACCCGCGACTGAAATGATGGGATGAATGGAGATGTCATGGAGACACCTGCTCGGGAAAATCAGTGATCAACGGGACGATGAAGATTTATTCTTCAGATAGCTGTTGGCAAAAGGTTCAGCTTTGGAGGGCTTCAAAGCCGTGCTTGGACTAATTGGGCACTATGCCATTCGATCCTTACACTACCTAGACCCCTTATACTGCAAGCGAAGAGCAGAAGGCAACAAGAGATCAGATCATAATTTTTCAATTGGTTGCTTATTTTATTATTTATTATTCACTTGTTCCTTTGTTTATTTTTTTAATATAACACTAAAGACCAGCTGCGATTAGTGAAGCGAGTGAAACTGCGCAGAAAACTCAAATCAAAAAAAGTTAGAATCAGTCGATGAGGAGGAAAGCAAGAAGACTGTAAAAACCGGTTTCGGAAAGAAAAATTTATGAAGGAAATAAAAAACTGAGGAAAAATCCAGTTCCCTCTTGTACGTGAGTGCTGTAAAACTTTTCGAGATGATCTTTGACTCGTTCAAAGATGAGGATAGAGATAGCTAAATGTAGGCCAAAATTGCGAAAAAAAATTGTTGAAAGAAATCGGGAACTGATTAGATCCTATCTCTGAGAGGAAAAATAAAAAAGTTGCTGAAAAACTCAAGTTTTTTTACTGCCACATTGAGCGTCTTGTCTAGTTTTTATGGTTGATTTCTGGTCGTGTACGAGTTGCAAAAAGGGCAGAGACATCGCCAAGACACGCTGTTGGAGGTAGGGGACAGGGAATTGAAGACAAACTGGTTGTTCTAAGACGGTGCCAATGAACGTTCGAAAGCAAGGGTGTCGGAAAATTCAGGAATATACCATTTTCTTGTTCATCTCAGATCTGCATTAGGCCCCTACTGAATCGCTCCGCACCGTGACGACACAGGTTCTCTCGGAAATTTTCATCGCTGTGAGTTTGATTGATTTCGGTCTACACCTTGGTTTTGTTAGCCCTTTGATGGACTCGATCTTAACCATTTATTATTTTGATAGATGAGCAGATGGGGAAGACGGATTCACGGCAGCAACTTTTCCCATCCCAGAATACAACATGAACTCACCCTCTAGACATGGGCGAGGCTCACTTCCTGCCTCTTTTTTGATTGGAAGAGGAAAAGGACGAGTTAGCTCATCTGTTGGCTACATAATAAGTCCAAAGGAGTCTTTGGCGGTGATCAGTCCCGTTTTTGTGATGCGCCCCGCATTCCCCCACATTGAGAACCAACGCAAATTTGGAATGCGTTTATGGCTTATACAATAAATTGGCCAGTTGATGTACAAGTCGGTGCTTATCCTCCCAGATGAGTATGGTACCAATTAACCGACCCCGGATAGATAGAAGGTCCGGTTAGCCTAGGTGGTCTGACCACTGGAGATCTCGATCCCCAAGCCATGTATATGATAATGCGCCACTTGCCAATTGACCATATCCGGGCAGAATCCTCCCACTAACTGTTATGGCCATTCTCTTCGATAGGCACCACATCTTAAAGACGGCCACAAAAGAAGGCACCAGAGACCAAAACTAAACTGTTTATTAAAATAAACATTTATTAAAAGCAATTTCGATGTAATTAATCGATTACTGTATAAAAATTTGTGATCAACGGGAATGATGACGATTATTACATACAGATAGATCTATGTACAGACGGTGGGATGGGGATAAGCTTGACGTAGGGCAGTGCGTAGACTTTTGATCATAGGCCTTTCTTCACGGGAAGCGACTATTTCTGTTTTGAACCTTGCTTAATCCATTTTTCCTTTTGATTGATTGCTTTGATTTCTTTTCCACTTCGATCCATTACTATCATCTTGTACGTTGTCGGAAAGAGCCATGCAGCATCGTTTGAAAGACTGGAATTGACTGACTTCAAATTTTAAAAAGGCTAGAAAATGGGGGACAGCCGTTACTTCGTATTTTATGCACGAACCACTTGGGATGCGCCATGCACCTAATTTTCGACATTACCAAGCGCTAAGTCAGTAGTAACTGGTCACTTGTATCAGTTTAATTTTCCACTAGTGACCTTTTTGGGCAGAATTTCTCTGCTACCACGCTACTCTGCGCTCCGGTCACATTTAAAGTACTCCTTTCGAGACACTCGTACTAGAGCTCAGGTAGAAATTCCGTCGCCAAGCTATGATAGACTTCTTCAAACCCTACCTTGGACTCGAGTTTCAGGATCTACATTTTTGTAGAGTACAAACCTGATATGAAAATAGCCAGAAAGTTCGACGTGTTGATCGAGAAAATCAACAGCAGGTAGACCACATTTTTGGGTTGGAGGTACGAGGATATCACGCTCTTCTTCCGGGGCTTCCTGCAATAGAACAATACTCCAATAGAATTTTGCTTAGTCCTAGTACATAAAGGTATCATCAAATATAGACGAACCTCAGGTCAAAAGTGTTTCGGATAGGGTTTCAACTGATTTCAACTTTTTTTTACAGAAGTATTCCATTTTTTCATTTACTTAAAGTCCCCGGTGCATGAGGATGGAG